CAGCACCATCAGTACTTTATTGGCTGATGCTTTGGTGGAAGTTTTCCACCAGAAGTTCTCCAGTCACATTGTTTCTATTGTTAAAGACCAGGCAAATGGTGTTATTGGTAAATATGTGAGAAAGGGTTTAAAGAGTGACAGAACAGAGGAAAAGCTCAGAGCAGGACAGGACAACAGATACATTGCATACATGCCAAAACACCCAAATTCTAACCTAAAAGTTGAAGGAGACGCAGGTCAGCGCTCACGATCACATGCTGAAAAGATCAAGAACTCCACGACTGCAGGCACCATCCTTGATATCAGAGTCCTGTCAGAAGCCACTGGCACTAAAGTTGTCATCCTGACAGAGGACAGCAATGGAAGACTTACCAAAATGCAGGAGCTGAGCCCAGACACTCGACATGCCAATCAAACTGTGACCCTGATCTACAGACCAAAGAGTGACCAATACCCCGATGGCCATTATGATGTGTGCATCAATAACCAGACAGTGAGCATAGACAACAAAGGCAAGAGCTGTCTGTTTTCTGCTTGGGCACGTGGAATGAAACCACAAGCCAGTGAAGAAGAGATCACTTTGGAAGCAAATCGTCTTCGATCTGTGGAGGCCGATGCTCTCCTCAGTTACCCAGGCCAATGGGAGTCTTTCATCAAGCGGAAAGAATTAACAGAAACAATCAGGGGAGGGGACTGGTACATGTTAGAGGGAGCTGCACCCAAACGAGCCATAAAAGAAAGCAAAGAGTTACGTCAGAAATTAGTTGGCCAAGTAGAAAAATACAAAAACTGGCAAACACATGCAAAAGGAAATAAAGGAATTGGAAAGTTCATCAATGCAGATCACCAGCCACCAGTCAGTAGCATATTGAAGGCCAGAAAATTTAACCAGAATAGCAGATTAGCAGAGGCCATGCTTGAAGTGGCAACAAACTCATCTACTGGGAACATTTCTGATGTACACAAATATCATGGCCGTGAACTTCCAACAGTTTATGTGCCTGCAGAAGTACATCGTGAATTTCCCAGTACAAAATCACCAGCCTTCAGAGACCTTTTGACTAGAGCCATAAGTAATGATGATGTTGTGGGTACTTTCAAGCTGACAATCCTTGGTTCAATGCCAAGATTCTGGTTGGATCATAATAAGGACTTCAAAGACTTTCAGAACAACCCAATGAGTAAAACCAGGCTTGACACCTTCGAAAACAGTTTTCAGAAACACAGCACAGAGATGGTAAAGACATGTTTTTTTTCTGCTTCAAAACAAAGATGTTATGAGAAATGACCATCTAACTACCATTACTGACTGCCTGTGATGAATCACAGAAGCTACAGGAAAAAAAAACCTGCATGTAGTTCACTGTCAGCAGCATCCTATTCGTTATCATGCAAACGGTGTGTAATTTTTGTTTAATTCAGTGTAACTATGAAGGTGGTTGTGAGGGGGGGGGGGGGGGGGTTAACAGTGAAATTATAAAATATATTATCTCTATGGAAATGTTTTTACACAATAGTGGACAATAAAACTGCAGGGAAATGTGCCAATATGATATTACATACTTTAAAAGTTTATCTAAATGTATTTAAAACATATTGGTGAAAACGGCCTATAAACATAATTGGCCACTGTTATGAACATTCTGAAATAAATAGAATTACACACAAGTTGGTTGTCTTTGTGAGTTTTTAATTTGTCTTTGCAAAGGGGTCAGAGCAACAATACAAATTTAATCAAGATTCAATCAACCAGGTTCATTCAAAGTCATCACTCTGTGTCATATGGAAACCATGTTGCTGTTTTTAGATGGATTAGGCACCGTTAGTGTGAAGCAACAGTTATAAGAAACAAATGTCAGGTTTACGGAAAATTGGACCCAAACACAGGGCTTCCTGATTACTCAGTTAAATTTTCAGTCTATTTCATTTCATTATTTATTTGTGTTCTATCCAGATCCTGGCTGTGGGTGGGATTCAGGGTCCTCTTCCTGTAATTGAATCTAATGGTATGCTAGTGGTTCGAGTCTCTCTCTGATCTTTTTTTGTTTTACTTTGAAAGAGCTGCTGGCTGTTTTCACAGAGTTAAGCAAAATTGCAATACAGCCATTCCATGAAGACCTCAGGTGGCAGAACAAACTGAATTCATCCCTCTACACAGTGATTGAAAAAACTAAATCACACACTGGAGGAACAGCAAAAGCAACTCTGACAGTTATACAAGGTGTCCACATGGTCACGCTGACAGGGAAAGCCATCAGTGCAGTGCTCAGCCTGTCAGACAAATTTTTTTCAAATTTTCATGAACAGCTGAACATATTTAAAGAAGAGCAACAAAAATCAAAGACTGTGAATGTAAGTGATCTGTTTGCAGAAGACATTAAACTGCTGAAAGATTTCAAGCAGGATTTAGGCAGCACCATCAGTACTTTATTGGCTGATGCTTTGGTGGAAGTTTTCCACCAGAAGTTTTCCAGTCACATGTTTTCTATTGTTAAAGACCAGGCAAATGGTGTTATTGGTAAATATGTGAGAAAGGGTTTAAAGAGTGTCAGAACAGAGGAAAAGCTCAGAGCAGGACAGGACAACAGATACATTGCATGCATGCCAAAACACCCCAATTCTAACCTAAAAGTTGAAAGAGAGGTAGGTCAGCGCTCACAATCACATGCTGAAAAGATCAAGAACTCCACGACTGCAGGCACCATCCTTGATATCAGAGTCCTGTCAGAAGCCACTGGCACTAAAGTTGTCATCCTAACAGAGGACAGCAATGGAAGACTTACCAAAATGCAGGAGCTGAGCCCAGACACTCGACATGCCAATCAAACTGTGACCCTGATCTACAGACCAAAGAGTGACCAATACCCCGATGGCCATTATGATGTGTGCATCAATAACCAGACAGTGAGCATAGACAACAAAGGCAAGAGCTGTCTGTTTTCTGCTTGGGCACGTGGAATGAAACCACAAGCCAGTGAAGAAGAGATCACTTTGGAAGCAAATCGTCTTCGATCTGTGGAGGCCGATGCTCTCCTCAGACACCCAGGTCAATGGGAGTCTTTCATCAAGCGGAAAGAATTAACTAAAACGATCGGGGGAGGGGACTGGTACATGTTAGAGGGAGCTGGAAAAGTCATAAAAGAAACCAAAAAGTTACGTCAGGAAGAAGTTGGAAAAGTGAAATTATACAAAGAATGGCAAACATATGCAATAAAAAATAAATGAATTGGGCATTTCATCAATGCAGCTCACCAGCCGCTAGTCAGTAGCATATTGATGGTCAGAAAATTGAACCAGAATAGCAGATTAGCAGAGGCCATGCTTGAAATGGCAACAAACTCATTTACTGGGAACATTTCTGATGTACACAAATATCATGGCGGTGAACGCCCAATCATTTACGTGCCTAAAGAAATACATTGTGAATTTCCCAGTACAATATCACAAACACACTTGGCCAACACAATAAGTAAAGATGATATTGTGGGAACCTTCAAGCTGATGATCCTTGGTTCAATGCCAACATTCTGGTTGGATAGTGAAAAGGACTTGAAAAACTTTCAGAACAACCCAATGAGTAAAACCAGGCTTGACACCTTCGAAAACAGTTTTCAGAAACACAGCACAGAGATGGTAAAGACATGTTTTTTTTCTGCTTCAAAACAAAGGTGTTATGAGAAATGACCATCTAACTACCATTACTGAGTGGATCAATAACCAGGGCTACAAAGATCTAAATGATCCACACAGGAATAAAGTCACCAACCTCCTGTGAAGAAGAACATATTTTCATCATTTACATATGATTCCTAATAAAAAGGAGGAGTAGAATGGCATAAATTTGAGTCTATTTGTGTTTTCTTAACATTTCAGTTTCTAAGGCCTGAGATTGTGACTCTTACAAGCAAATCAAGTAGAGTGGAAATTATGGAGATCTTTCACCTACCAGATCACAAAGCTCTCTGTGTTGTGAAGAAAATTATTTTCTTGATGTTTTGATATTATACTATACTATAATACTAATACTATAATACTATATTTTCCTATCTACTGGTCATTGTAGAAAAAAGGGATAAGTAATAACTGCCAGCAACCAGCTAACATTTGTCACCTTTGAACTCATGTTCAGTGAAATTAGCAGCTGATCATGTAAGTTCTGATTCCCCAGCCAGAGAACAAAGAGCACACTAAGAATGCTGTAGCAATCTGTTTCTTGGAGTACAGTAATGATTATCCTATAGCCTTCTGAATTCATGAACTCCAGAGTACCAGAGTACCCTCTAGTGTTCAGAAAGGCAAACTACACGTCTTGTACTGAAGATCTGTTTATTTTTCTTTTCTGCTACGATGCTTCTGCAATAAAGAAAGTGATTGCTAGATGTCACATACGCTAAAAAGTGAAAACCTGTTTGTAGCTCCGGAGAAAGTGGAAAATAATGAATACTATAGAGTTCGATCTAATATAGGAAAATCATGTTATATTAAATGAGCTAATACAGGTAAATTAGTAAGTGGAAGTGTAACGGGCTAAAACTTATCATCTGGATCATTAGCTGGAGAGCCCGTGACTGGCTGCAGAGGTGGGCTTTGTTAAATAGGCCTCATAAAAGCCCAAACACATATCAAATGACCGGGATCCTTTTAACAAAGATCGTTCCACTTGATGGATCCTTCTTACATAAAGTAATCTTGAGACATTCAGATCCACCAGGCTGTGCCCAAATATTTCTGTTTATTGCTAAACTCTACTTTGTTTCTCCAGCATCTTGTGCATTACAGTAAAAGTGTAGCTATGCTATATAAATATATTAATGGCTGTATATCTGTATATGTTTGTTGCTAAATTCTACTTTACAGCTCAACAAATCAAGATCAGAATATACAATGAAAAAAAGCACAGTGGCACATGAGATGATGTGCTCTAACACCTGTACTTGAGTAAATTCACTTTGATTTTGCAATATATTCTTCATGGTATTTTACGCAATGCTGTTTCGTTATGACATAAAAAACGTGTTGATGCTTGAAATATTTCTATCATCATAAAAATTTGCTCAAAACTACAGTGACTTCCTGTTTCCACCCGTTAGGTGGTGCAGGTTACTAGGGGCATAAACTGCAGTAAATATCAATACTATTTGGGGTTTATTTTGTTGTTTTTTTACACAACAGACTATAAAACAGCCAGTGTCAAATGATTTGAAATCTTATGACATATATATGATGGTAGCTTACTGAGTCTAAGTGAATGCAACTCAATTATTCTCCACTAGATGGCGGTGCATCATGGATACAAACATGTAGACGAGATCAAGGAAACTGCGGCACCTGTGTGACTTGATGCTAGGCTCTCAACACAAGCAGGAGCACCCTGGGTGTTGCTTTGCTGTATTATAAAATAGCTATTACAGATATATTAGCATAATTACATTAAATTATTGATAAACTTACTAAAAATAAACCCATGAACTCATTAGTGTATATATAAGACATCAAATAAATGGATATATATCTTAAATACTATTGTCGTTACTGAAGAAGCTGTATAATGAATATTAACATGTTCAGTTAGGCATTAATATGATAAAACTTAAACAATAACTGCTTTTAATTACAGTAATGCAATGCCTATTAGCCTAACAATACTCTTCGTTTATAGGCACTTTATAAAAACTCATCTCTTTCCTATATAAAAAAAAAAAGCACTTAAAGTATTGCTATAAAAAAAATGCAATTCACACTCCTGGTCAGGATTTATCATTAAACTGCTACAGATCAGTTTAACTCCAACCAGTAAACCCACAGAGCAGAAATCTTTCAAGGATTTCAATTTTGACATACGTTTAAGCAAGCAGAACAAAAACACATTTTTAGTAATTTAGAAATCTGCACCAATTCTTGGAAATACAGCAGTCTTCTAAACTAGAATTCCCAAAGAGACTTGGTGTAGCAATGAATGAGACATTTATAGTTTACGCTTTTAATTCAAGAATGCAGTTCCCAAAGATAAGACAAATTCCAATGGATGATACAGTGAAGAAAAAAACCTCACTACCAGTAATGTGACTGTATTATGACAAAAGACAAAGACACTTTGTAACTTCAAAGATACAGGAGGAAAGTTAAAGGAGAACAGGTTTCATAAAATGTAACCAACAATATAAATGGCATGATTATGTTTGAAACTGAACAGGTCACCGTGCATTACTATTTCCAAACATATAAAGAGTTTCCTATTTTCTTGGTTGTTTAAGCTGTCAAATCAATGCTTTTATTGACGGGATAAATCTACTCAGAAAAAAATATTCCCTAAAAGGTGTTATATGTGTTTTGACAGGGATTACCACATTACTTTAAAACTGCTTGAACAATATGAAAATTTCCTAAAAAGGACTGATATCCAACACGTTTTGAAATGTTACTTGGTTTTTTGGCGTGCTATCGTGTGCCCTTTGTGTTGAGTAATGGGTAAGATGCAGATAATCAACAACTTAAAAATTTAACAGGCAAGTGGCAGAAAATAAGGCTAAATAAATCCTCAAATTTCACTTAGCATCCAAGACTGCATTAAATTGTCATTTTCAGGTTACCAATATAAACTGGCCAGATTCAGCAATCATATACTTTAATACTGATTTTTTTTTTCCGTCCAATGCCAGTTTAAATTCATCTGAAACCTATTAAACAGGCTTTTTTTTGGCAAAGACTTTCTACATAAAGTGAGATGAGATCAATACTGCTCATATGCATTTGGTAAATATGAGCCTACTGTTTAAAAGGTCAGTAAAGTCATTTACCAACACCTGTAGATGACTAATTAGTTAGATTTTCAGTGCTGTTACACAGAGTTAAAAAACCAAACCAAAACAAAAAAACCCAGAATCTATTGGTCACTTCAGTGGAGAGATTGAGCATGGTCAAAGAAAGAAACAACTGAAATAATTTTATTTAAAATTCACAAGATAAAGCACTGGCCTTGGCATACGACTCGACTTCTGTTTTTCCAAGGTGCACTTGGTGGATTTTTGATTTCTTTGAACAGAGACATTGCTGAATTCTGGTCTTAAGCTGGGTTTTTCATATTTATTGAACAGAGAGAAGTATTACTTATGTCATCCAACTTCCAGCAAGAAAGCTACCAGCATTTCCCCAAATTATTTTACTACTACTTCAAATTTTAAAGACTTCACAATCACCTTAAGACGCTTATTTTCCTGTTCTCATTTGTCTCAAATACATCTACACAAGATGTATTTGAGACAAATTCTTTCTGCAATAATTAATCAGTGTTTGTGAATGATAATGACAGCACCTTTGATCAAACTGTTAAATGTGGATGGAAAGGATGAGGAAGAAAAATGAATAGTAACACTCAATTTAAACCCTCAGAATTTCAGAAGCTCCACTTCAAAGATAAGAGTGGCATTTGCAGGGATGGTGGGTGGATATCCTCTGCTGCCATACGCGTAGTCCGGAGAGCAGGTCAGCTTGGCCACCTGGCCCAGGCTCATCTGTGGAGGAGATGAAGACCAAGTTAGATAGGTGAGTGAAATGAACAAAGTTTACTTTGTTTTAAAAGCCCTCCCAGTGATTGATACAGCTTTGAAGATGTGTTAAATAGAAAGAAAGAAAGAAAGAAAAAAAAAAAAAAAAAAAATCACACAAGTGAATATAGTTCATTAGACGTTTCACGCTGGCTTAAGTGAGTGAAGCCATATGAGACAGCAACAAACAACAACAAATACTAGGCCTGAAGGCCCCAGATGAAAATTGCCTGTATTTTCTGTTACTGTAACGTGCAGCATGAACAGTTTTACTGTGTGTGCAGCAGCTGCAGTTTGCATGACTGATTGCTCTGCACTGCCTGTTTGCACCTTGCACTTTTTAGTGCTTTACTACTGTGCAGCAAGTAGTAGGCGAGTGATTGCGGAAAAGGCAGTGTCTTCCTTGCAAATTTCATGCAACAGCAGCAAGTTGCTGGCAACCAAACTGATCGCAAAGTGGGTTTTTTTTTTTCTGTGTAGAAGATTGTGTTTGTATTTTGAAATATTTAAACTTATACACCTCATAACCACAGTAGTCTTTTGGCCTTTGTGCACTTCATGACTAAGTTAATAAGAAACATGAAATAAAAAGCAAAAAACAACCAATCCTAATTACGGTCTTCGACATACCTTTATGATACAGTTTTACCTCATAATCTAGCCAAGCAATGAAATCTCTGGTATTTTTGGCAGACCATTACTTTATTAAAAATAAAATTCTTTTGAAATGAAAATGTAAAGCAAAATAAGTATGCAAATATTAAATAAAAATCTATATGATAAAGCATAAGCTCTAAAAAGCAGCACTGAAATAACAGAATTAAAATGGCTTGCTAGCAAACATCAGATAAAATGGCTCAGAGTGTAAAATGTAGATAATGGATGGCCTGGTTTCTGCTCATATTTGCAGCCTCTGATAATAAAAGGCAGCAACATCTTAACAGATTCATTTGTGACTTACAATAATCTTACACAAACGCTAAAGTAAGCCACGGTGATATTTTTGTTTTGTTATTTTTGAGGGGGAAATGACTCTGAGCTATTGCCAAAACGAAGGCAACGAACGTATTTTCATGTGTTTAACATAACATTGATCAGAATTCAAAATTCAAAGCTCCACTTACCTGAGCTACACCTTCATCCCAACCACGGATGACTTCACCTGCGCCCAGTTTGAACTGGAAGGGTTGTCCTCGGTCCCTGGAGGAGTCGAACTTCTTGCCGTTTGTCAGGGTGCCTGTCGGAAAGCAGCCCCAAATTAATAAAGTCAAAGCCTGATAGCCTCTGCGAAGCCAAAAGATACAAATTAAAAGATTCGAGTGACTGTCATGTTGTATTCACACACAAGGTGACTGGGTAAAAATGTACTGCTGAGGGTACACGGTGCAGCTTAGTTTGAGCAGGAATTGTTCGACATCTTGGGACGCCGGGAGCTGCTGTCAGGATGCGGCTAGAATAGCTCACATTAGCACAAATCCTTAAATAAAGACACGTTACCCTAGCGGTAGTTTGTCGTTTCTCGCATTTTATTTATTGTAGGTATTACGTCGCAATCTTAAAGGTGGGCTATCCGCCCCCTCAATTCCAGGCGCTAAGCTATGCTACGCTACGCTAAATTAAGCTAAGCTAAGCAGTGCTAGCTACAGAATTAGCTTGCTGCCACCAATCAAATTCTCATTTAACTGTCCGCAGGTCCACGAAATGAGAAATGATGCTTATTACAAACCCAGTTTATACTAATACATATTTATTTTTTCACCTCGAAGTAAATGAATAAATGGTCAAAAGAGGCGAGGCTTACCGACATAGTGAACTGAAACTGTCGATCCTTTATTTGGAAAACTCTTTCCTGAAGAAAGAAAACGAAGGTTGATATACACCCAAAGGCAAATATAGTTTTAAAGGGACGGAATAATTGGAACTAAAGAGGGGAGGACAAAAAAAGCTTTACCGTCTCCTGGTCTGAGGGTTTCGACGTCTACTCCCATTGTTCTTTCAGCACAGTTCTCCCTCTGTCTGTCTTCCTGGTACTCTCTCTGATTGTGAGCTCGTTCAATGAAGCCGTCGAGTATAACGTCCCACGTGGTTTGGTGGGCTAAAAGCCGTAAAAAAACGCGACTCTCTTCAACAGCTGCTCGATGTGTCTAGATGTATGCCACGGTGGGAATAAATAAGGAGCCTTAAAGCCAATCTTTGGCTTTAAAAATGCAATTTACTGTTTTTTTTCCGACCTTGTGGGTTCGTTGAGCGGACACAGGGGCGTAGTAGTGACATTCTCAAACCCAAGCAGTGGCCCCATGAAGATCCAGTTTTCTTTTTTTTTTTGAGTAATCAAATAAATGAATCAAAATGGGGAAAAAAGGGCCTTCGATGTTCTAGAAGATATTTTATTTTTCTCTTGCACACACAGATTATTACGTTATGCAAACAGGTAATCTTGAAAGCAGGTGTCTGTGAAGGTTCTCAGTCATCCAGGTCATCGTAGTCAAAGGAGCTTGCAAAGAAAAGCGTCTGGACTTCTTTAAGTTACTTGAAGACGTTTCACCT